ACCTTATTTCAAGCACCTGGCTACACTGTTATTATACTCTCTGGGGTGTATGGGGTCTTCAAGGACGAATAACACCTCCGGTATAAGAGCTACTGAGCTCTTTTCAGGGCTGCTTGTCCACCTCCAGTGTCTATCTGATTCACCCAACTCTCACCTGTGGCTCCAAGAAGCCGTGACATGCGTAGAATGGGTGGATGAGAACAACCTAGGAAGTGCCTCTCATGTCACAGGCACTTAATAAGTTTGTTGATTGATTTGTATGCCCAGCAATTAGCTCAGTGCCTGACAGACTGTGCCTGGCAAATGTCTTTTTTCCCCCAATACTTATACTGAATTTTTTTGTATTTATTTAGTATTAATTTTTCCTCAGTTACATGTAAAAACAATTTTTAACATTTGTTTTTAAAACTGAGTTCCAAATTCTCCCTTCCTCCCTCCCTACCACCCCTCATTGAGAAGGCAAGCAATGTAACATAAGTTATACATGTGAAGTCATGCAAAACATATCCGTAAGTCATGTTGTGAAAGAAAACTTAAGACAAAAAAAAATAAAAAGTAAAAAAAAGTGTGCTTCAATCTATATTCAGAAACCATCAGTTCTTTCTCTGGGGATGGAGAGCATTTTTCATCATAAGTCCTTCAGAGTTGTCTTGAATCATTGTATTGCTAATAGAGAATAGCTAAGTCATTCACAGCTGATCATCTTAAATATTGCTGTTATTCAAGAAAAGGACCCACATGTTCAAAAATATTTATGGCAGCTCTTTTTGTGGTGGCAGGGAGTTGGAAATTGAGGGGATGCCCATCAGTAGGGGAATGGCTGAACAGGTTGTGGTGTGAACATGGTGCAATACTATTGTGCTATAAGGAATGGTTAGTGGGCAGACTTCAGGGAAACCTGGAGGGACTTATGTGGAATAGTGCTGGGTGAGGTGAGCAGAGCCAGGAGAGCGTTGTGCACAGTGGCAGCCATGCTGTTCAATGAATAACTGTGATAGACTTAGCCCTTCTCAGCAATGCAAGGATCTAAGACATCTCTAGAAGTCTCATGATGGAAGGTGCTGTCCACATCCAGGGAAGGAACTGTGGAGTTTGAATGCAGATCAAACGATATTATTTGCTCTTTTTTTTCTTGTTTTGTTTTGTTTCCTCTTTCTTGTGGTTCTATTGGTTCTGGTTCTTCCTTACAACATGACTGATGTGAGATTATGTTTAATAGGAATGTATGTGTATAGCCTATATTGAATTGTGCTACGTCTTGGGGAAGGGGGAAGAAAAAATTGGAGCACAAGGGCTTATGGAAGTGATTGTTGATAAATCAAAATAAATTAATAAAAAAGGATGATCAAAACATTAAAAAAATTATTGCTGTTACTTTGTACTCAGTACATTTCACTTTTATCAGCCCATGCAAGTCTTTCCAGGTTTTTCTGGGAGCATCGTGGTCATTTCTTATAATACAATAGTATTCCATCAACCACAACTTTTTGTTCAGCCATTCCTCAATTGATGGGCATCCCTTCAAATCCTAATTCTCAATATTTTTATACATATAGGTCCTTTGCCTTTTTATTTTTTCTCTTTTGGGATACAGACCTAGCAGTAGTTCTGCTAAGTCAAAGGGTATGCACAGTTTTATAGCCCTTTGGGCATAGTTCCAAATTGCTCTATAGAATGATTGAATCAGTTCACAACTCCTGGCAATCATCCAAGAAATAGGTAATCTGTCCTGGTTGAGCGTACTCTTATCATGACAGACTCCTGAGAGGAATAACTGTTAAGTGATGATGGCCATGGTCCAAATGGAATGGGAGATGGGATAGTCACATTGGGTGACGTGATGAATGAACATAAAGATGGAAGCACACCATGCAAAGAGAAAGAACATCCCTCTCCCTCTGCCACATATGACCGTGACTGACCCATTCTCTCCACTCAGTTACTTAGACTTTGGGAGTTTTTGAGATCCAGATGCAACATTATGGAAAAATCAATTCAGTTTGTCATAAGCTATAAACCTGGCCTTCCACAGAATGCCTACTCTAGAGATAGTCTCATTTGATCCAGATCCAGATCTCAAGCTCCCAAGGTTGTTGTGAGGCTCATTGGGAGGACGTCATTGGTCCTCTTCAAAAATGCTATCCACAACTCCAGCTTCTGGGATAAGAACTCACTATTTGACAAAAACAGCTAGGAAAACTGGAAAAGAGTATGGCAGAAAATAGGCATAGATCAACATCTTAAACCATATACCAAAATAAAGTCAAAATGGGTTCATGATTTAAATATAAAGGCTGATACTACAAGCAAACTGGAAGAGCAAGGAATAGTTTTACCTATCAGATTCTTACGCCCTTTCTAAGAGCCATAAAGGATATTAGCATTAACCCTGGTAGCTTTCCAGATATTATTATAGGTCCAAACCAAACATTTGTATTCACCCTTGGTTCTGGGTCCTTCTTTCTGCAGTTTGTACATGTTCTTTACGATCAGCCTTGTTTTCAGTATATTTGCTCTGATTTTATTTCCTGTCCCTCATCCCCAGCACTGAAAGTAATGTCACCCAAAGTTTGTAGTTAGGTACATATAGTGATTGCTCGGGTTACTTCATCGAAGTGGAAAATCAAGTCAATTTATTTTCCATTCAGAATTTGAAGTGTGGCACAGTTCCAGGCGCTAAGACTTGAAGCTGGATGCATTTTTGTTGCTGTTGTCTCCTTAGTTTCACATAAACCTGCTTTGATTAGAAGAATTATGAACTCCAGCTAGGATTCCTACCCAGGACAAAACTAGACCACTCCCTTGATGGTGACTCAGCAATCCTACAGTATTCACATTATCGTGGAATTCCCATGACAATACTAAAAAAGTCTGATAGCTATTGGGACAACCTTACCGGGTTAGGCGTTGGGCAGTTCTGTTTTATACATGTTTAAAACATTACTGTGCCAAAAAAAACACTGAATATGAATAAAGCACAGGAAGATTTATATGAACTGATAACAAAGTACGCAGAACCACGGAAATAGTCTAGACCAATGACTACAATGGAATATTGTACACAGGTAGCTAAGCTTGGCCCTGAAGAAAAGAGTAGAGGGAAACCAGCATTTATTAAGCACCGACTATGTGCTAGGTACTGTGTTAAGCACTTTACAAATGACTCACCCCTGGGAAGTGTTGTTATTTAATGTTACCCCATTTTCGAGTTGAGGAAACTGAGGTAGACAAAGTAATGTATTAAGTAACCTGCCCAGGATCACAAAGCTAGGAAGTGTCTGAGGCTGGAAATGAATTCAGGTCTTCCTGACTCCAAACCCAGTATTCTGACCACTGTACCACCTCACTGCCTAAGAAAAAGCACCACCCTCCTATCTTTCCGGAAGTGGGGCACAATGAGTGTAGAACACTTGTGTATACAGACAAATTCAACTGGTATCTGATCTTAATTAAGGTTGCTGAATCGCATTTTCCCCATTTCTTTTTTCTTTTTTTTAATTCTTTGTTATAGGGAATGGTCCAACAGGGAGGGAAGAAAAGGGATATTACCTAGAGATGAAAGTGATGTAAAAATAAAAAACCATAAATATATTTTCTTTAAAGAGAACACTTGGACAGAAGACAGCCAATAACAATATATGTTTGTGGAATTTGGAGCTGGAAGGGACCTCAGGGATTTGTTCATCAAATTCAACCCCTTCATTTTACAGATGATGAAAACGTGATTCAGAAGTTACCTGTCCAAGGTCACCCAGATGGTAAGATGGCAGTCAAGATTTAAACTTCTCAATCTAGACTCAGAGGTCCTCCGGCCTACAACATTAGAGAGTAGACCAGGCAAAATGAAAAAAGCAAGCCACCACTCCTTGCCAAAATTACTATTTGCATGTTTCAGTTCTCTCTATTGTTGCTGTTCAGTCATTTTCAGTAGCGTCATGACCCTATTTGGGGTTTTCATGGCAGAGATACTGGAGTGGTTTGCCATTTCCTTCTCCAGCTCATTTTACAGTCACTGAAGTGACTTACCCAGAGTCACACACATATACAGCTAGTAAACATCTAAGACCGGATTTGAACTCAGGTCTTCCTAACTCTAGGCCTGGCGCTCTATGCACTGTACCACCTAGCTGCCCAGTTCTCTAAGAAGATGTTGACCCAATGTTAAAGGGTTAAGAACTTCAAAAGGCTCAACTCTTTAAAATGAAGGTATGGGATCTATTTATATCACCCTTCAGAATACAGAGTCATTATTCTTTTATACAACAATCATTTCCCAATAGAACCCTTCCTTATTAAAGAAAAAAAAAGCTCAGCAAAACTGTCTTCAAGAGTTTTCAATACTCTTTTGACACCCAGTCAAAGTAACACCTCTCTAATGAAAGGGAGAATGACTGCTTTTTCATTCCAATATCCTTCTGTAAAGGCCTTTACTGCAGTAAATGAAACCTATAATTTATAAATGAAGGAAATAAATTTCAAAATGACTAAAACATATTTATTTATCATTAAATTTTTGAACATATTCTAGAAATGGAACAGAATGCAAGTTTTCCTTCAGTAAAACATTTGTAGTTTCTTTTCAGGGGATAATAGAAGATATTTGTTTTAGCAATTTAAATTACCTCAAGGTTGCCTGACAATATTTAGTTATAGTATAACCCAAAAGAGGAAACATATACAGCTCTAGGAACACATGCAGTTCCATCAACTGGGAGGTTTATAAATCAAAAAAATATTTATCTGATGAGATGTCAAAACAAAACTAACAATTCAACCAATTTTTTCCAAAAACTCATTAATTTACAAAGGCCATACCAGAAATGCTCATTGTCTTAACCCAAACCAAAAATGGAAGCATACAATGATTTCAACTAATTTTCTAATGACTCACCTCATGGCAATGATTCTACATATCATGTCCTCTAAAATTATATTTACAACAATAAATAAAAATGACAATAAGTGGCTACAAAGAATGAATCCAGACATTTTTAACTTGCTTGTTTTTAAACAACAGATCACTGGAAATTATATTCAGTATCTCCATTAAATAAATTTACACAACAGAAGTCTCTCTCGTGGAAGAACATTTTGATACAGTATATATTAATGCACATATTATTCTAATGTATATACAAGCACAGTAAATACCGTTTGATCCATACACTGACAATAACGGGAATGCTTTCAGTCTGCCTATACACATCTTGTGTAACAGAAGTCATAAACCAACCCACTTTTACAAATAAAACCTCTCAGGGCTAGTCTGTTTTTTATACTCACATTCCTTCTAAGTGCATTTAAAAATAGGTTGTCTTTTATAAAAAAAGTATGTAAAATACCCCACAGTATCAGAACTTTTTGTCATTATAACACCTGCAAGTAAGCTTACCTAGCTTCTGAATCATTGTCACTATTTATGTCACATTTATAATTTTATTTTAAATAACATTTTTATCCCATGGTACATTGTATTATTTTTGACAAGATCAGTCACCACCACTACCACCACCCACAAATTATCACCTTTTCAGTGGTGGCTTGTACAATGCACTTACCCAACGGAGCAAGATAAAATTGCAATATACGTTCTTGCTATAATAATCACAAATTATTAAATCTATTTAAAAAAAATGAACTCAGTTCATTTTAAAATCCAGCATAATTTTTCATTAAGGTCAGCATAAGGCTGGGATTCTTTTTCTTGCCATGATTACTAAAAAAGCTTGGAAGAACATGATAAAGCTAAGAGTAAATCTTGGAAAACCTGTAATGGCCACCAATGAATCTTTCATTGGTTTCTCAGACCATTTAGTTATTTTAATGAAACTGATTAACTTAATAAAACATCCAGAGTCGGCCTAAGGACGTATTTTATATCAGGAAACCACAAATTATGGCATCAGAAAACAACAGGAAGCACTTCTGGTTTCTGGCTTAAAAAACAACAACAACAACAAAAACAAGTGCCAGGGCTTGCAGTCACAGAGTGATTTTCCACTTCACTTAATCCACACACATACACACCCCCTCCCCTCCACTGCCAAAAGAAACGTAAAACATTATAAGTGTTTATATAACAGATATACATGTGTCTGGCCCTGGACAGTTTCTTAAGGAAAAATGTGACTTCAGTTGAGGTGCAAAAACTGCTTCATGAGCTCGTAGGTTGTGAACGCCACGGCCTGGGAGGGAACACAGCGAATGTAGTTAAGAGATAGGCCCCGATAGAGTCCTCTGCGGATGCCGTGGTGTCCGTAGACATACTTCAGCGTCTTCAACATTGTACTGAAATATAACATCAGAGGACACGTCTTTATAGGGAAGAGTAAAAAAGGGAAGAGGGGCACTTGATGGCCTTTTTAAAGCCCCTAAAATGATGATTTAAATGACAAATGCTGTTTTAACAAAGAATCAACCGCCCTGGAGCTGTCATGTCAGGGTGGACAGGAGCACTGAAGCCAAGGGTGAGTGATTTTACTGATACATTCATTTGGCAAACGTTGATTAAGAAAATCTGTGCAAGGCATGGTGCTGAGGCTTTGGACACACAAAAACATATCTAACACCTACCTTGTTCTCAATAATAGCAAGGACACAAGAGTGAGAAATTGGAGGGAGATATCACTTTTGTCAGTACTATTTGAAGAGTCCAATGGCTGCCTTTCCAAAATATACATTAACAGCTGCATTTTTCCCTTTCCTTTTAAATCAGAATGATCAGCAGAAGGACGTAAAAATATAAAAGAAATAAAACTTAGTAAAAGATATAAAAGTTTTTCGAATCCCAGAGTCAGCAATAAAAACTGTTCCCTCCCCAAAACGTCCAAATACCACACTTCCTAACCCATAAGACTTGGAGTTTCCCCTTTGCCATATGCATCCTTGGTCTTGAGAATAAGAGCTTTATAAGAAAAGTCTCAAAATATGTTTTGCATCATTTCACATGTATGACCTATATAAAATTGCTTACCATCTCAGGAAGGGGGAAGGGAAGAGAAGGACGGAGAAAATTTGGAACTTAAAATTTAAGAAAAATGAATGTTAAACATTGTCTTTACGTGTAATTGGGAAAAAAATAGACTATTATTTAAAAAAAAAAAAGTTCTGAACCCCTGTAAAGCCCTGACCAAACACTGTTAACTGTCCCCTAAGAACTGTACAACACATTTGAACCCTGCTTGCTGTTACCAAAGTATATGATGAAAATGATTGAGATCTGTGAGATCTGATGATGATCAAGAGCTTGGTAAGCTCTCATCCTGGATTCTCTATCACCCACTCCAATATGTGGCTTTGGAGAAGTCAATCTCTGAGCTGATTTATAAATGAAAGGGTAGGACAAAATGATTTCTAAAACATATTCCAAAAATAATTCTGTGGTTCTACTCCTGCTTGTTTGAAATGTTAAGAACTTCTATTTCTAATGACAAAAAAAAAAAAAAGGTACGTAGAACTTACAGGCACTTTTCAGAATCTGGGAGAACAGTCCCTAATTGCATTCGACGACGGGTTACATCAAGTGGATAACTAAAGGAAGAAAAAAGACAAACTAAAGGACATTCACTTTTTTTTAAAAGTTCAATTCAATAAGTAATTATAGTCACTCTACTGTGTGCAAGTCTCTGAGAAAAGAGAAGGGTAGACACAGTTTTAAGCTTCCAAGAGTTTATAGCCAAGCTACCCATGTGTGAAAATTGCACAACACAAGGCAATTCAATATACAATTTCACAGACAAGAATTGTAAGAGGCCAGAAATGTGACCAACTATCTCAATTTGGAGAATATAGGAAGTATGGGGCCTTAAATGATAAGCACGACTGGGGAGAGGGCAAAGCATTTTAGTAAAGGAAACATCATGAACAGAAGACAAAGGTGTATTCAGAAGACAGAAGAGAAAGCAGACTGGCTGATGTAGGAAGTTCACACTACAGTAGTAGGAAAAAAAGTGCGATAATTTGAGGAGTTTGGTGTCAGGGCAGTGAGGAATGGCATCCATAAAGTGATCAAAGCAGCATCATGGATCTAGAGGAGGAGGAGACCTCAGGTCCAGATTCCCCAGACAAAGTCAGAATGAAAAGAAATGACTTGAAGATGGATGAAGGTCTAAAGGGCACCAGGGCGTTCATACATAAAAGACAAGTGATAAAATAACCAAAGAATACTGGGATCATGAGGCTCTCTATCACTTCTGGTATCAGATATAAACTCCTCTGTCTGGACCCTTCTTGACTGTCCAGTCTTCTCAGTCATTGTCCACCACACACCCTACAGGTCAGTCATACTGATTCTCTACTGTTTGTTACACAAATGCTTCAATTCCTATCCCCATGTCTTTGCACTGACTATTCCCCATGTCTGGAACACACTCTCCCTTCCTCTCCTCTGCCTCTTGGAATCCCTCCAGCATCACCTTTGGCTAGAGACCTCTCCTGATCCCCCTCACCCTCTAGGCCCTGGTGCTCACTCCATTCCCATAACCATCTTGAATTCACTGTGTTACCTATTCTGTCTGTCTTCACTTGTGGCATCCCTGCAGGCTCTCCTATTAGAATGTAAGCTCTGGAAGGGCAGGGGCTGTTTGATGTTTATCCTTGTATCCTTAGCTCAGGATACTGCCAAACACACCAGCTTAATCAGTGCTTATCAATGGATTGACTAAGGGGGAGGTCTATTAGGGGAATGTTTGTAGAACTGAAGGATAATAGATTTCAGGTGATGGCAGAACAAATATCTCTTCAAGAGGGTTGAAAATGCGTGACTGTGGCTTGGTAAGAACTGGAGACAGAGACAGCACTGAGGAGCCTGAATAAAAAAAAGAAATGAATAACTGACAAATGGAAGATTGGATGAGCTTTCCTAGGGACCAAATTGTCAAAAGAAAAGTAGAGCTATCCAAGGACTGAATCTTAGGGAAATGTTGAGAAAAGAAAAGAATAAGAAAAGAAAGTATAATCAATCAAAGAAACCAGAAAGGGATACTCGAAGAGACTGGAGGAGTACCAGGGAAGAACAGTCACACAGGGAAGTCAACAGGATCAAGCATTACCTAGTGGTAAAGGTAATGAGTACTATGGAGGAAAAAAAAAGGTCTTCTCAATTTAGCAAGAAAGACCTTCATTCAGCAATGTAGTTTTGGGTGAGGGAGTGGGAATGGAACACATATTGCAGAAAGCAGAGATGGTAAAGAAAGAGAGGTAAGGTGGGGTGGAGTTCACAAAATCTGGAAGTCTGTCAGTGAAATGGAGAAAAGCAGTAAGATGTTAGCTACAAACAGTAACAGTCAAAAAGGAGCCTGGGGAGACAACAAAAAACATCATTATAGGAGAATCCATGGAAAAAGTGTAGTTGAAGAAACTAAGGGGAGAGTGGGATGGTTATGAGTATGTGAATTCTTCAAGATCCCTAACAGAACTGACTATAGAACCAGGCAGAGGGGTTAGTTGGCAGTGCAAAGATATTAGGAGGAAAGATAGTAAGACCTACATAAAAGCAAAAGGCAAGGATGAGGAAGAAACCTCACTCCAGATGCCTTTAATTTTCTGAAATTTCACAGATTCTTGTGAAGAAAACAAAGTATACAACACGAACTGGAAGGCAGAAAATTCTTGTTGTGTTTCTAAAGGACAACTTTTATTTTTATTTATTTTCATTTATTTAATATTATTTTTATTTATTTTCATTTATTTAATATTATTTTTATAATATATAATATCTATAATTTTATAATTATTAATATAATTTTATTATACATACCATTTATATTATATTTTATTTATGTTCATTTATTGTATGAAATAAAGGGAGACATGCCAAACTACTTTCTCCACAGAAATACAAGATGAACATTACTTGAAACCAGCAAGACAACTTAAAATATACAAACATGTACCACCCTGGAGGTTTTCACAATTAAGATGCTAATGCTTAAACTTTATAATAAGTTTTCCTGGTTATGAATGGTTTAAGACATAAAAAGCTTAATGTTGAAAAGGAGAGTTATGTAAGAGTTTAGTGTCCTACACATAGATGCTATGTACAATTCAATTTCAAGTTATTTTCCTAAATTAAGCTGGTTAGGAAACTTACGATATTGTCTGTGCTATTGCTCCAGCAACACCACCACAAAGCAAGTTTATATGCGTTTTCAAAACTAAGACATTAGGGTTGTCTGATGAAGGTCTTCCAAGTAAGGTAGGAGCATGGGAGAGACCAACACTCTTTAAGGTACCAAAAGTAAAAAATGAAACCCCTAAAAAATAAAATGTAAATTTACTATAATATTTAACAAGAGCAGAAAAACAATACATTGTATTATTTCAAGTTATTTCAAGTATATAATAATGCATTTCTTCTTTCTTGACTATCACATTTTGCCCAATGCACAATTTCTACCACTAGTAACACTAAAAAATATAAACAAGTTTATCCACAAATTAAAGGGAGTCATATAGATCCACACATAATAAGCAACCTTCACCAAAGACACCTATTATATAGTAGTCTCAATCATTTATAGTTTCACGCAAAATTATAAAGAAATGTTTATAAAGTTAAGGAGAAAATTATAATTTCTAACTTGTAAAACAAAATCTCGCTTGGTTTTTGACTTTTATATTCTAGCAGCTATATTAGAATAGCGGTGGTGCCAAATGTAACTGACAAGACATATTTCCACTAAAAAACATGTTTCCTTCTATAAAATCATAGATTTAGAACCACAGAGGGCCTTGGGGATCATCAGGGCTGAGGGTTCTTAACGTTTTTTTTGGCCCCTTCTGCAGTCTGGTAAAGCCTATGAACCCATATGCAAAATAATGTTAATTAAGGTATTAAACAAAATGCATAGAATTACAAAGGAAACCAATTATATTGAAAGTTATAATTTTTTTTAAAGTTCAGAAGCCCCAGGTTAAAAAACCTTCAATCTGATTCAATCACCTCATTTTATATAAGGAAACTGAGGTCCAGAGTGAGTCCCCCAGGCAATTAGTGGCAATGCTAGGATGTTACCTCAGGCTCAAGCAGTCTTTCCACTAAAGCCCACTGTCTACAGATTATTACAGGAGTCAAAAAATTCAGACATTATAAGGAATTGCCTTTTAACCTGATGCCCCTTGAGTCTTCAAAGTCAGGGCTGCCAACATGAGAAGAACCCAGTTTTGGGGGGAAAGGGAGAACCAGATGTGCATGTATACTTTCCACATAAACTAGAACAGGGGCCTGAGAGCTCTACTTTGGATCACTTAAGATTAAATAACTCTATGGCAAATACAATGTTACTGGTCCATGCTGAATGCTATCCTAGTTCTTAGCAAAAGTTAAGAGACTGAACTACCATAAAGTATCAGAATTTCAGAATTGCTATTAATTTGCCCAATATTCAAAATACCTTTATGCCTTCTAAATTTATGAAATACACTACCACAAAATCCTTGTGATTTCAGAAAACAAAAGATAACTTTTATCAATTAAACTGTTAATAATAAACAATCTATAGTAATAGAACTAATAGCTAATCCTCGGGTCATCTCTTATTTGTTTATACAAACACTATATAGTATTATTGGCCAGTTAGAGCCTGATACTAGTGTGACCAAAGTTCTAGAGTCCATTCCCATAAGGCCCAGTTAGCCTTTATAAAGACAGTTATAGACAATACTCTTTCCTCTGACAGCCACATCATATACATAGTTGTTAAAAAAAAAAGGAAGATGGCGTAAGAGTAAAGGGCAATTCAACTAGAAAATACAACTCCAAAATGGATATCCAATTTTTGGTAGGCCAAGAGGCCCATCTTAGCATATGAAGGACAGCATAGTTTAATATGTTCAAAGTGAATCTAAGTTTTTAGTTTCTTTTACTTACTTTCTTAAAACAAAGATTTCCCTCTAACTTATAATGTCAAAACTCAAGTTCTATCTGAAAAGTTTTAAGAAATTGCAATCCATACCTGCATAGGGAGCCATGCCTACAATAGTAGGCATCAGTCCTCTGTAAAACCCACGAAAGCCACCTTCCTTTTAAAGGAAAAAGTAAATGGATAATTAAGCTGTGTTCGTTATGATGAATTTAAAGCAACAACAAAAAAGTATTCTGCAGCACAGACTAGAATGCAAAAATCTACAATGTTCTAGACAAGTTGCTTAAAGACTTCCGGTAAAGCAAAATTCATGGCCTAAGTCAAACTTGGCCTCTTTGCAATGTCCCCGGGGCCCAGAACAAGTCTAATCACTTTCCACATGACAGTCTTTCAAAGTCTTCTCTTCTCCAGGCTACAGGCCCCTCATTCCTTCAAGGATCTTCACATGGCATAAGCTCTTTTACCTGGCTGCCCTTTTCTGGACACTGCTGCGCTTGATGTATGCCCAGACCTGAGCACAATGCTCTAGTAGGTCTGGTCTGACCAGGAAAAAGCACAGTAGTCCTTTCCTCTCCCTAGTTCTCAAATAGGACATCTCTCAACTCAGTCATCTACCCAAAAGATTTTAATAACTGTTTTTGGTCCAGAATTGTGATTTCATAGATGTGAAAGAACTTTGACGAGGAAACTTTCTCTACTGATGCGAATTGGCAATGCATCTGTATTTTATGGTCTCATAACAGCTGGGGGTGGTGAGAAGTTAAGCAACGTGGCAGTGGACATGAGTGGTCTATGTTCTGAGTCAGGACTTGAACTGAGGTCTACCTAAGTCCCAGGCCAAGTTAAAACTCATCTCATGGGGGAGCGAGGTGGCACAGTGGATAGAGTACCAGCCCTGAAGTCAAGAGAACCTGAGTTCAAATCCAGCCTCAGACACATAACACTAGCTGTGTGACCCTGGGCAAGTCACTTAACCCCACTGCCTAGACCAAAAACACACACACACACAACAAAAAAAAAAACCCACAAAAAAAAAAAATTTATCTCATGATGCTTTTTTTTTTTACCAAATGTGAAAGGTAGATGTTACAGAAAGAAAGGAGAGAAAAAGAAAATACCTTTGCATATATTGTTTTGAATGCATGAACAATTCCTGTGTATGTGTGTTCTCCTTTCACCTGGAAGGCCAGGCGAACTCTAACCATGTCAAGTGGATAAGTACAGATGACTGCTGTCATACCTGCAAGGAAAAAAGAAAACTCTCACAAACAGTTCTATTAATAAGAAACAAGCAGTCATAAGTCAATGCTGCTAGCAAGAACATTCTAAGTCTCTTAACTTAGCAAGGTCCATCACAAGACATATGCAGGTATCCCACCAATGAGTCTGCAAGAAATCTTTTCTCATGCTTCCCCAACTGGAAGGCTGCAGCTGATGAGAGATATCATGATGAGTCTGAATACAGTCTTATTAAGATGGTGATGCCAATACTGTCCCTATCTAACTCAAGAGACTACAATGAGAGTAGAAAAAAAAATACTGCAACAGATTTAAAAGCACCTTAAGGAAAATTAGGCTATTAGCTATCCTAATACCACATATTAGCAACATAGTAACATTATGATTCCTTTATTTTCACAATGATCTGCTGCCAATTCATCAGAGGTTTCAAAGCTAGAAAAAGGTTAGAAACCTTAAGGCCACATATATAATATGCAGCAGGGCAAGAATTTGAACTCAAGTCTTCGGGTCCACATTTCTATTCCATCATGGTGAAGGCAGCATTTCCAGTTACTTTCCAAATATGCTGGTATTTGCAACAGACTCATGATCAAGTTGGAACCCAACTCCCTTGGGGACACTGCAAACGTCTCAAAGTATAGGATCACTTGAACTGTTACTAATGGTCAAAAGCCTTCAGGTCCCCAGAAGACTTCAGCTGGTTTACAGGGAACTACCCCCCGCTGCTGTGACTCTGGATTTTATATGGATGGTCCCTTTTTTCCACACTTGCTTTGACAGATACTTGTTATTGCTTCAGCAAGTAACAGAATGCCCAGGCTTTATGGCAGAATTTGTTGACATTTTATGACGATGAAGAACATCACTTTAGTCATGACTGACATTAGCAAATGTCCAATTCTCTTGGTTTAGTTTCAAGCTATGATAATGTCATTTAGTATTTTGTACATGGATTCCAATCCCCACAAAACTGATTTCAGAGGCATAATGCTTGAATTCAGTCTTTTCCCTCACTCGCAGTTACAAAGTGACACTGCAGTGACTTGGGGAAGTATTAGTTACGCCTCTTCTTTCAATTTATTTTATTCTTCCCCTTCCTAAGTTTGAATTCTTTTCAGTGAGCTGCCTAAAAATCTAAACCTGTCAATCCTACAATTCACTCAGGGGGAATAGAAGTTGATGTCAAACCAATGAAAAAGAATGCTGAGCAGGATCCGTTTTCTCAGGATCCGTGTGTCTTCTTAGTGGAGAAGAGTACACATAAAACAGTTTACAAAACATTTATTCCCCCCCCCCCCGAATATCTTATACAAATGAGTAACAATAACAACTTGGTCTGGACATCATTGAATATCCCCTCCAGGGTCTATCACCTCCTCTGGCTTCCATTACACTCCTCTATCTTGCTTTTTTTTTGTACCTTGGCCAGACAAGTCTCACCCACTAAGTGTCCCCCAAGGCTCAGTCTTGGGCCCTCTACTCTTTTTTTTTTTTTTAATCTATTTTCATGAGGCATTTGGGGTTAAGTGATTTGCTCAGAGTCACACAGCTAGTGAGTGTTACGTGTCTGAGGCAGGATCTGAACTCAGGTCCTCCTGGCTCCAGAGCTGGTGCTCTATCCACTGCGCCACCTAGCGCCTTCTATTCTTTTTACATTCTTTCCCATCATGGGTTCAATAATAATATTTATGCAGATGATTAGTCCATCAAAGCCTCATCTCCTTCCTAAACTATAATCCTGTACTACCTATTGCCAGCTGCATACCTCCATTTAGGTGTCTCATAAGAATGGCAAATTCACTAAGTCCAAAAGAGATCTCCTATTCCCCTCCCAAAACCTCGTAATCCAAACCCTTCTCCAAACCTCTCTGTTAACAGAACCACCACCCTAACAGTCACCCAGGTGTGAAACCTCAGACTCAAATCATCCTATCCCTTTAACACCTATGTTCATTATTTAATAATTCTTTTCAATTCTATGTCCACAATCTCTCTTGCATCAATTCCTTTCTCTACTCTGGTCAAGGCTAACTTGGATTACTCTAAAAACAGCCTAACTGGTCTCCCTCCTTCCACACTCCCCCCTCTCCAAAGTTTAGAGGTTCACAAACTTATTTAGCCTACCACTCCCTTTAAAAAAAAATTATTCAGCACCCCCCTAGAAATCTACTTTTAAAAAACCCTTTAATGGTTTTTTTTTTAAATCTTCGTCATTTCAAAAAAAATACTGTCCCCCTGGATCATTCTAGCACCCCCCCTAGGGGGGCAGTTATCACCTTCTTTGGGAATCTATGCTCCAAACCATTCTCCACAAGGCTTGAGAACTGAGAGTCCTCAAACACACCTTGGGCCTTTACAACTCCAGCTCACTTTTCAAGGGATACTCCACAGCACTGCTCTCAAGTGCACCATTACATGGTAAGTTGGCATCTCATCTGTTTCCTCCATGCCTCCAGGCCATCATTTCCCACCCCTCCAATGCTTCTTCACCTATGATCAGCAGAATCACTAGTGTTTTACAAAGTCATTTTTGCTGATCTCCCTCTGCCAGAGATAAACACTCTATGGCTCTTTAAATTCATCCATCTATCCTTTGCTTGTCCTAAACCCCGGCAGAATGGATGTTCCTTAAGGGCAGGGACTACTTAGGTTTTGTCCTGCTGGATCTTAAGGTTTCACAGTGTCTCACATGTGGTGAGTGTTTAATTTAATTTTGTTGATTTGAAGTTTAGTTAGTATTTAAGGAGGACAATAAAGTCTGCTTCGATAGAAAGGCTGATTTAAACAAGTAAAGTTAGAATGATTAAATAATTTATAGGTAAAAGTTTCATTAATTTCAAGTACATTCAAGAGGGCATGCTTTTACCAGATCACTGGTAACCATTAACTGTTTAGACATAAATAGTACTTCTAAAGCTCTTAAGAACCTTATTCTTGTAATTCCTTTCAACACCCTTATGCAATAGGGGCCATATTATTTGTTTGGTTAGCAAACATTTTATATACAATAAAAAAGGTAAACCAATCTATTCCTGCCTGAATTAACAAATGCCAAGCAGTTTGGGTCCAAATCAATAAGGTTTTACTACGTAGTTCTTCCTCAATAGAGGACATTTTATAACACAGTAATGTGACTTTTTAATGCTGTCAACCAAGTAAAGTGCTTTTCTGGGTTTTTTGTAGTAAATCTTATGCTAAATCTAAATTAACATAACAGAGCCTGGCTTAAGGCAAAGGTTATCTAAATGAATGAGAACCTAACATTTAAGTCATTGCAAAATACTTGTCTTCAGAAACTTCTAAAGTTACACAGTTACAGCATTTTCCTTTTTTTGCTTAATTAGAGCTATTTCTCTGTAGTGATAGTTTTATCTGTATTTTTCTCCTTCCTCCCACTCTTATTTTAAAGAAAAATTTATGGTAAATATTTGTAAATTTTTTCAATATTCCAATTTATAACATGTGTTTGTGGCTGTATGTATGTATGGTATATAATTTTATGCCCCTCATAACTATCTTCCCCCATGACCATTTCTCCCATCTTCTCCTATTTGACTTTGTCCCTAACTTTTTCCAGTTTTTCCCTCCTTCATTCCAGCTTTCCATCCCTCTTCTACTGACCCTACCTTTATTAGTCATCATTCATGCACCTTCTTCCTTTAAATCACTGCCCTCCCTCTCTGCTCTTCCTTCTCCAGTATCTGTGTTGACCTTTCTTTTCTCTCACCCTTCAATCCCTTCCAACTATCCTGCTTCCTTCTTCTCTCCTATACCAATGCAAAGAACAGAGCCAACACCCAAGGCTCAATCAAGGGATGGTTTCTAATAGGTGGGATAGAACAAAGCTGGGAATACCATCAGGTTCTGCTTTTTACCACTGTGTAAACTAGATGAATCCTTACAAATCTACTAAGTGATCCTTAAATCCACTAGAGTCATAGCAGCCTTCTGAACTCAGAAAAGTATCTTTTTGTTTTTTTGCAATGCTTATGTACTTCAACTTGACTTCCATATTTCAGTTAAGCTAGGATTCTTCTCTGAAGGTGGTACTCAAATCCCCTTTAGTAGCCTGTGAAAGAAACCTCTCTATAGTTTGAGTACAGATTAAAATAGTTGTTATCAGTCTATTTCTGAGCTATTTCTTGGCAGTGAGAAGGTTTGACCTGACCAGAGGGAGTTTGTACCTTCTGCCCAACTGATAAAGAAGTCCAGTAAAAACCGGTTCTGAAACAACCTGCAGCTGCCTATTTAACCTGCCTGTGGCCTTTAATCCTTTCGTACCTGGTTTCATACTAGGTGGTAAGCAATAATAGTTGTCCATGAATAAACAAGAGAAATCTAAAGCTACTTACCAGAAATACTGGTGGTGACAGCCTTCCTCTTCCTTCCCCCATCTTATAACTACAATCCAATACAAACAGCAATATGTCTTCACCTACCAGGAAGCAACAAGACCTTCAATCAAGCTGAGATGAGTTTGTGTTTCTGTGTGTGAATCCTACCTCTCCTCAGTCAAGAAGCTTAGAATTTAATAAAGAAACCATCTGTCTAAGAAGAGTTTAAGAGATGAATGGGAAGAGAAGAGATCTTTCTCCCCAGTCCTCCTTCCAACCTTACAAACTTACACGGTATTTATTACCCAGCATTCAGTTCTACCAAGTTGAAAAGGCTTTAAATACAGGCCAAGTCAGATTGCTGAGCACGGGAATGGCCATCACCAGCAAATTGAGCACTGGGTGATAAAATGACTATGATAAATACCCAAAAGTAAACATGAGTCAAATGAAAAGAACGAGCTTTCTTTAAAAAATAAGAAAACCCAATTATCTGCCAAGCTCAGAATGGATCTACCTCACCGTCTGTGCAATTTCTAGGTTTCAAAAGAATTTCAAAACTTTTCAAGTTTCAAAGAATGTTTCTAACAAACTTTCCAATGTTAATCTATCAGAGAATATGAATATTCTGAAACTGAAAATGGTACATGGGACTTTCTGATAAAGGAATTAACTGCAAGGAAAAGGCAAGACAATTATACCAAATACAGCCTTGAAACTGGGGTGCAGGGCTGGATCAGTGGCACTCATTGGTGAATCAGACAGCAGTGAGACAATGTGCTGTCACTATGACAGCAGGGCAGAAACACGTCAATTCCAAGATCGGTTAGATCTTCCCATAAGGAACCCTGCTAGGTCAACTTTGCTCATGAGTGCTTAGGACTTCTTTCTTATACATTCCATCTCATGTAAGACTACTGGGTCAGACTGCTATACAGAAAATCTATATAGATCACAACCCAAAAAAATGGGTTATTTTGGTGCTGTACCAGTGGGGTGGTAGCTATAGAAGACACAGAGAAGGCCTAAAGTAGAACTGATAATTATTGAGCTACTGTAGTCAGGCACACTAAGCAGGGGCTCCAGGACCATCTCTATATAATAGTCCAATGATACAGAAATCAAGAGATCCCAAAAGAATCACAGGCAGCAGGTGAAAATGCCATTTGGGGCTTATAAGCTGCACTCTGGATAGCCAGAGCATGACCATGAATAATATTAATGTATCTTTAAAATTTGACCATCAATTCTTATAATTAAAAATAGAAAAAATAAAAGCTCTTGGAGATAGGCTAGTATTCTTGGCAGGGGTTGGGGTGGAGGGGAAGAAGGGATGCATGTAAGAATTTACTTCTGAATTATAAAACAAGATTAAGGGGGCAAAGGTACTTTTAAAAATATGGACAGCATTGGGGCAGAGCACTTGCCTTCCTAACAGTGCATCCAAAGCTTCCTGACCTTCGTAAATGAAAATAAACATTTAGCATAAAACAATGTTTTCATTTCTTTGTAGAGATTAAGTATATAAAGGAAAAATGATGCAGATGACCCATCTAAAAACATGCAGTCAGTCAATGGCATGGTTAGTTTATTAATAAACCTTCACAATTGTCCAGTGCTTTTGACTTTTCAATGGGCTTTCACATGTAATCATTAATCTCTAATATTAATGGAAAGATTAAAGGAAAAGGAGTCCTAGAGATACACAACATGCCAGGGTCACACAGTGAGCCAGTGGGAGCCTGGAGTTAGCACCCCACCTACGTGACTCTAGCCCTTCACTATTACCAAAATCTTACCCACCGGGCCTACTCATCAAATCGCCCCCAAAACTGGAATAACCAATAGATAGACAATAGGCAAATCTGTTCATCCATCTGATCTGCTTACTCATCTCCGACACCTTATTTTCTGCCTCCACCACACTGATCATTATTTTGGGGTTTTGAATGGTGAATGGGAAGTGGCAGAAGGGAAGAGAAGGAATGTTTTCAGGGAGAGGAGGAACACACAAAGAACGAGGGGAAGGCTCACTCTCTGAAAACAGAAGCCTCGACTCTCCGTTTCTGTGCCTTCTTGGAAGACTCAAGACATACTGGATTGTAGTTGTAGGATGAGGGAAGGAAAAGGATGATGAAATTCCTTAGAGTTTTAAAAGAGACACGTGAAACTTACAAAGCTATCATGAAGCAATTCTTTTTTAAAAACTTCTACAAATACATAAACTTTAAATGACTGCCTGGCCTACAAAAAATTAGCTAAAATCATCTCTCAAAGGTTTAAGAGAAGCAAGATAAAAAGATACATTTCCACTTTTATCAGACCATCCTTTAACTTACGTAAACAAAATGTATGTTGTATCTAATTACATGCAATGAGTGAAGTCTCTGCTTCTCCTGTGCTGGTACTAAACACAAAGTAATCCTACAGGGCTAGGGCTGCCAGAACCCTAAATGTGACTTCTGGGGGATCCAAAGATTTCTTTAAAAGACTTTAAATTTCAGAAGTGACATTCTTAGTATGCTGCCCTGCCTCTACTGTACCTGAAATCATTTTCATCATAAAATCCTTTAACACGAATGTGAAAACACTAACCACAAAGTAAACTCAAGCTGTGCTTTTGTGAAGTGGGCACGTCCTGAAAGAGCAGACATTGCCCAATAACTAAAGGGCAGGAACACCAAAGGACTTACATTAAGCCACAAAAGCCCAAAGTCTTTTTGGATTTAACTCCTGTTAAATGTCATCCTGCAGCTTTCCTGCAAACCTTCGGTTTGTTTGCTTTTATCCCCCAGAAGCTATGTGGTACAGTGAGTTAAAAGTAAAAAGCCTGTAATAAAGTACTATACTGTAATTCTTCTCTTCCTTTCCTGTAGAATCCCAACCCTCCTTTTAAGCCCAACTCAAATCTTACTTTCTTTGAGGTCTTCTTTGAGCCTCCAGTAAGTAAACTCTCCCTTGAACCTCACATATCACTGTTTGTCTCTCTTACATTTTATGTGGTATTTTGTATTAAAATTATGGGATGGGCTACATCCCAACATTCCCAAGGAAGGAATATATCTCATCTACACTTTTTTTTCCTCCTTCCATCCCTTAATGCCTGTAGGTGCATAATAAGTAGAAAAATTAAAAACGTTTTTGTTAAAGTGATATTAAAACACAATACCAGGGTATAGCAGTAAGAGGAAGATGCTTCCTCTGAGTCTATTCTTTCTACACTTTAACTGAGGAAAGACTGTAATGTCTGCTGCTATAGTTACTTCTGCGACTTCATTGCCCCTGGGCCACTCAGCTAGTAGAGTCTGCAAATTATCAGGAGGGAAGCACCATGAGTGTTTTGTTTTGTTTTTTAAGCAGAAAGAATAAGTTATTACTAAACTTTAATTACTTGCAGGAAAGAATTAGTTGGTGAATTACAGGATGCTTAAAATTTACATCAAATTGTGAGCAATCTGCAGGTTAAAAAAAACACAAAGCAGCTACTTAAAATAGAAAGTGATCAGACACATAGACACTAGGTATGACGCCAGTATTACTGTTAATAATAGCCCATATTTTCCTATGGCTTTACAATTTACAAAGCACTTTGCTTTAAAAACCAACCTAGGAAATAGGGCAACTACTGTTATTCCATTTTTACAGATTAAGAAACTGAGGCTCAGTGAGGTTAAGTGATTTATTCAACATCATATTGCAACTTGTGGCCAAGGTAGGATTTAAACTCAAGCCTTCTGAATCCAATGTCAACATTCTTTCTACCCCACCACTCTACCTCTTTGGAACCTCTTTAGAATGTTAGTACCAAATTTCATCATTTTTGAAAAACACCACCACCATGTGTTTCAAACCACTAGTGGTGTTAGACAAGGCATGTCATCATGAAGCTAGGGAACAAGGCGAGAAGTGAGTCCAGGAAGTCTCTGAGGAGGCCTGAGAACAAAATCCAAAGGCTCCCATGAGAGCTCTCAGGGGCCCCTGATAATGGCATCAAGGAAGCTGAGAACCATAACAGGGTTTATGGTGCTTTTTAAGCTAGAGTGGGGCTCCTTACCCAACTCAGCCTTGCCTTGCCACACCAGGGCCTTGGAGAGTTACTGCTTATCATTTGGAATAGAGCCCATCTCACACCACACAAGAAGCCCAGAGAGAGACTGAAACACCACAAGTATTCAGCCCCAAGCACCTCCCCTCATCAGTGTCCTTGCTATCACCTCCTACGGGGTCTGAGGGTCTCAGTCAATTGGCTACTAACGGGTATCATAAAGGAACTATGCCTTTTTCCTATAAAGTTGTCTCTCAGTAGTTTTTCAGCTGTATCCAATTCTTTGTAACCCTATTTGGGGTTTTCTTGGCAAAGATGCTGAAGTGGTTTGCCATTTCCTTCTTTCTCTATAAAGTAGTCAGTCTTAAAGATAAGCACATGGATATAGTAAATAATACAAGAAAAATTAATGCTGGAAGTATTTTTGTGGAAGATATGACAACATATCACTACATGTATACTATATGTACTATATGTACACATTACTATGCGTAATATATCTATTACTATAGAACTAAAATATACACATTCCTACCTGCCATGGAGCCAGCCATTAGCCGGTGTATATGTCCAGAAATCCCAAGTTTTGTGGTAATTAACTATGAGATAAATAATAAATTCAGTAAAATAGGTTACAAGGATCATTTTCATCCTGAACACCTCATAAAATCACAGATCAATAAGTAAGGCAGTAACAAAAATACTGCAGGCCTCTGCAGGGTACAACAGAATACAACATTCCAAGTTATGAAACCAAGGGAAAAGGGAATAAGGGTTTATATAGTGCCTATGTGCCAGGCCCTTTTACAATTATAAAACAAAAAGTGATGAAAGACATGGATTAAATGTTTGCTCTGAAGCTTCTGTCCCTTAGAAAGCCATCAGGGAGCCGCCTGGTAGCAAGTGTGGTAAGTAAGCTGAAATGCCTTGTTTGCATCTTCTGGGAACAAGGCCATGGACTATGGACTATGGACTATGGTTGACAAAGCTGGCCTTGAAGCCAAGTGCACCTGAGTTCAAGTCAGACTGATAGATACCAGCTGACTGAACAGACAACGGAGTGGACTCTCAGCAAAGCAGGCAATTCGATAACTAAGGCAGAGAAGCAGAAGTAGGGCTGGTTAATAGCCACATTCTGCTATAATCAGCTTCTTCAGACACTCATTGGGTGCCTCTTTGTCTACATGACTGTGCTGGATGCTGGAGGATGAAAACATTAAAGTACCTGCTATCTCAGGGCTTATACTCTATGACATGTTCTAGTCCATATAATAAGGAGGAGATTGCTGCAGGGGCAAATTCTCAAGCCCAACAGGAATGATTTTTACCCTCGATCAGACATGCTTCTGTCCTGTTTCCTAAGCAGGAATAACGAAGCACTGAGCAGCTCTGATTCTAGACTATCAAGTTCCAAAAGAAGTTAACTTAAAAACAAACACAACAATCAGAAGTCAGACGCGTGTGTTCCTGCAACATTATTATGGGCACTTAACCAGAATACTTTAAAGCCTTGCTTACAGCAAAAGTATTCTCAGTACCAGTCAAATTCAAATTCTAAAGTAGGGAAATAAGATAACAGTTTAATTACCTTTTTATAATGGTCAAAGGACATAAATTGAATTGCACCATATGGAAAGATTCTAATCATCATTGCTCCATTTCCTTTATACAACCCAAGATAGCCTTCCTTTTTGGGGACAGCACACAATGCAGAAAACACTCCTGTTTTTCAGAAAAAAGATTTTCAAATTCAAAATGGAGAAGCCATCAACACTGAACACAATACCATAAAGATAAAAATGTTTTATAATCATTTTATTCAGAAATAATTACACAAAAGGTAATAAATTATGTAACATTAAATATCATAAAATGAAAGCAATCATCCTATCTACTCAAGAAAAAAACATAAATTAAAGCAAATTCTTATATTTAAGCATTTGGTAACAGAAATGTGTATAGTAGGTACAAAAATGGAGTCAAATTTAAAAGCTAGCCCAAATGTTAAAGATTTAAAATGTTTTGTTAAAACATTCTGATTTTATATCACATTCATTTCATAATAATCCTCCCCATTTAAACTTCTGAAAATTTCACACAATCCTTCTTTAAAGCATTTAACGTTAATTTAAACAGGAGGATCTAGCTAAAACAATGAGATAGTATTATTTGTAACAGAACCATTAAAAGCTTTCCCAATAACACCAGGGGTAAAGCAGAAATCCAAATGAACAGAGAACATCACAGGAGAACTAGGTTGCCTCTGAAAAACTGCAGTTTTTTATTAACCCCTACTCTGTCACTGAAACAAAAACTCATCTATTAACCCCAATACTCTTCTGGTGATATAGAGTTGCAAATCATAGAACACCAGTCGCCAAAGAACTGAAGGATCACTAAGCACATGGGCGAGGCACACGCAAGTTATACAGTGTTATATTACTATATGATACATTACATAGGAGGAATTGTCTGGGCAAATGGGCTTAAAAGATGCCAGAGAACGGACTGGAACATTACTGTGCCAAAAGCAATGAAAAATATTAATTCAGAAAGACATGCTAAGACTTGTTGGAAGTGATGCAGATGCAAAATAATACAGGAGAACAACATACACAATAATAATATAGTGAACAACAACACTAAAGCCTAAGCCTTAGGTATTCAGATGAAACACATCTCCTCTTGTTTGCAGAGATGAAACATATGTGTGCTGGTAGAGAGGTGAGGGACAGGGATGGACCCTGCATATGCTGCTGCTGTTGACCATTTTACAGGAACCAGAACTTCAGAAATCCTGAGACTGGAGCCTTGGGTCATACCATGCTAAGATCTGAACCCAGACCAGCTCTCTCCATATCTATAGATGTTATAAGTAAAAATTTTCAGTCAACTGAATCACATCTAAATTCCTTTGGAGGGCCTTGCTACTTATCATAATCTAGTTAGGAGTTTATATGTAGTAATCACTAGTGTATGTGAAGTAGGCAGGCCTTTCTTACCACTTTGGTAAGGTAGCCCAGAATGAACAGTTTTTAGCAGAAGAACTTGAGAACTCTGCTCATATTGTTTACTAAGGAGTAAAGTGAGGTCCACAGACCTCAAGAATCTTGAGAATTCAGCTCACAAACCTAGAAAGGCAATCTGGGACCTGAACTTGGGCCTCCTAAGTCAATGGTCTTTCTACTCTATCATGACTAAATCCTAAAACCTTCCAAATAATATGAGAAAAATATTTTAGGTTTAAGTATCTCATGTTTATTCTTACCTAGGGTAAATTTCTTTTGGGGGAGATGAGGAGATGGGGACAAAGATATTTTAATTTCATCCCATTTGGAAAAAACCCTAACTTCAAATGAAGAGCTAATAATTATCTTAAAATGAGATGTATATAAACCACTTCTGCACATTTAAAATCACATCTATGTTCGGAGTCAATAATTTAACTTATCTTTATCAACTCTCCTACTGTAGTCAGACGTGACTTTGGTCTTATGACACCATTATATAATGAATGGCCTTTGTGTTCATGTATCCTTCGTTTTGTTTTTTAAAAGACAGGCTACATATTAGACTTCAACTATTTATTCTTTAAAATCTTCACTGCAAATTTCATAAGTCTTGTGGAGCAGGCTGTACAATTCAGCTGGCTCCCAGGGATCATGGATCCCTGGGAATATACAATCTCAAGAATGCAGATTAACAAACTAAAACAACACACATCTGTGTGCTGGTTATAGAAGACAAGTCAGACAGAGGTAGTTACATGTAAAATAATTCTAAACATACCAGGATAACATAACTGATCATATTAGTTCTTCTCTACCTTCCACTTCCTTTCAAAATACTAATACAAAACAAAAATTAATCCCCAAATACAATAATGCATTGAATTTGTAGGCATAAGACAAGTAATAATTCAAAACTGTTATGTACAGCACAATAACAAACCACACTGCACACAGATATTCAGACAATCTGGATGCTACAGTGAAGTTCCTAAATTAAAAGTTTTTTACTTTAGTCTGTGTTCCTTCTAGCTAGATGGTATAATGGTTAGAGCTCTGAACTTAGAGAGCTTGATTCTACCTCGTATATTTAATAGCTATTTGACAACAATTTCATATATTTTAAAGCAATTATTTAATAATATTATATCTAATCCAAGAATGAATTCAGTTATTTATTATATTTGCAAAAGCTAAAGAAATCAGCCATTTCTAACTCATGGAAATGACTTTATGGGAAGTAAACTATTTAAAATTCAACAGATTAATTGAACATTCATTATTTGATTAATATTAATACAGTAAAATCTCAAATACTATAAACTTCAACCCAGCAGATACTTCCTTTAAACTTTTTTTTTCTTTTTCATATTCTTTCTCTCCTCAAATTCTCACCCTCTCATATTCTCTTTGTCCTGCTCCTCCCTGGGGAAAAAAAAACCCCAAAGCCCTAAAAAACAAAAATTGTAACAAATTGGTACCAATCAGCACACAGTTAGCTCCATTCCCCTTCACCTTTTGCACAGTTTGATGACGAGGCCTTGAAAGCTCTTAAGTCAGGCAAGAAACATGCTCCCACTATTTTACTTCTCAAATACCAAACTTCTCATATGGAGCAATTTTTCATTTTGGAGCCATTAACTAGGGCTTTTCATTTCGCAATCAATCAATGAGTATTTATTAAGTACGCATTACCCTGGGCCTGGTAAAAGCAATCACTCAACTCACCTAAATGTTTGTAATGGTGATTATGCGCCTGTAACAATATCTTCACTCGATCCAAAGGTGCGATGGTGGTTTTGGCACAACATCCTGCAATACCTGCAGATTGAAAACAAGACAGAGGAAAGCTGAACATTTATTACAGACCTTTGCACAACTGGTACAGTAGATTCTGTAAAATCTCACATAACACTTTAAACACAACATAAAAACATGCTCATGAAACAGTTCATTCATCTCCCTATGGGGCTTGATGCCTTCCTTAGAAAGCACTGGATCCTCCCAGGAACTGTGGGAGGCAGACAACACAAAGATTACAGACAAGGTAACTCAGTCTCAAGGGGTTAAGGACCTTGCCCAAGGTAATACAGTAAGTCAGTGACAAGAGCCCTGCACACCCAGATCTTCTGACTCCTACAGGGCTGGTTGCTTTGTATTCCTTCCTTAAAAACTCCATGTCAGAACTTTATAGGTGTTTTCAAGACAAAGAGAAGACTAATACAAATAAGTCGGGACTTTTACAGAGTTACTTTAAATATTTTGCTGAAGATTAACTTGCATTCCTAATAGTACCTGAGCTTGAATATCAAATGACCACACAAAATAAAAAAAGAAACAAGGTGTTGCCTTTCACATATAAAAACAACACTGTGGCTACACTCTTCACTCCGATGTTTTCTGTGTTTTTTTGGGGGGCAGGGTTTGGCTTTGATTTTAAACAATGGAGGGCTAAATGAGGCTACCATCCAGGCAACAAGTATCTTTGATACTTAACTAGCTGTATGTCCATAGGCAAATAATGCTGCCTCAATTTCTTCATCTGCAAAATGTGGATAACCCAAACAGTTATTTGTATGTAGTGCCTTTCTCACAAAAATATTCAAATAAAATAACACAGGATGTCCCAAATAAAGCACTCTGCCAACTTCAAAACTCTGTATAAATGTCAGAAAATCCATGCTCAAGGTTATAATGACTTTCCAACTTCTGCAGAATTATAAACAACAGGACTGTAGTAGCATAAAACATAGCCAAGGCCTAGGGAAGTTATATATTTTAATAAAAATAGCTTTTTAGAACTTAAAAAAGACCCATATTCAAATTCTGCCCCGACATTCACTAGCATTTACATAGCCTACCACGTGCCAGGCACTAAGCTAAGCTCTTTACAATTCTCTCATTTGATCCTTACAACAACTCTTCAAGATTGCTGTTGTTATTAATCACATTTTACAGTTGAGGAAACTCGGCAAACTGGGTTTAAGTGGCTTGCCCAGGGTCACATAGCTAGTGAGTATCTGAAGCTGGATTTGAACTAAGTTTTCCAGGCTCTAGGCCAGGCACCCTATCCTCTGTGCCACCCAGCTGCCCTAGACATTTTAATTTTGAATACAGTAGATAGATTTAACCCCATATAAACAAAAGTTCTTGGGGGGGGGGGGGTTTCTTGATAATTTTTAGTAAACGGGTCCTAAGACCAAAAAGTTGAGAGCCATTGATATAAATGTTACCTCAAATTGTCTATGTTGGAGGGCATGGGTCAACTATGTCAGTTTAGGCACCTAAAGGCAGAAATGACTTATCTGATTAATGTTAAATTAAATTGTTTCTGGAAGCCTTGTGCCTAAAACAGAGGGCATGGTATTGATATCTTTTCCAATAGTAGGACCCTACTGCACCAGGTTGTTGGGCAATTTTCAATGACCATTTGCATGGTGCTCCTGGATAACCATTACCTCCTTCCACCACATCCAGTGCCTCTGCACTGAGCCACAATGCCTCTCTGGGACCTGCTTCTAACCCTGCTATTTCAAACAGCGGATAAACAACACTCTGGGATATTTGAACTCATGGAAGAAGAGCAGTCATGGTAAGGGGGTCATTTTTTTAAAGTCCATAGATTCAGAAAACCAACATGTTTGAGATGAACATGGGCAAGCATCTATTCCAGTCTCCTTACAGATAAAGGAAGAAACTGAAGCCCAGAGACTTAGTTAGTATGCCTAAGCTGACAGAAAGAGTTTTGCGCCAAAGCCAAGATTAAAACTCCAAACCAGTAGTCCTGTGTTCTTTCTACCATTTCAACACTGTCAAAACATTACCATCACAACATACCATTAGAATAATCAGCAAGGAAAGTCCAATAAGAAGCACCAATAAAAACACTATCTTATATTTCTATTATCCTGCATTAATGCACTGTTGCTGGAGCAGTGAACTGATCCAACCATTCTGGGAAGCAATTTGGAACTATACCTAAAGGACAATCAAACTGTGCATACCCTTTGACACAGCAATACTACTACTGGGTCTGTATCCCAAAGAGATCAAAGAAAGGGAAAAGGATCCACATGTACAAAAATAGCAGCTCTTTTTATGATGGCAAAGAATTGGAAACTTAAAGGATGTGCATCAAGTGGGGAATGGCTGAACAAGCTATTGTACATGATTGTACAGTTATCCCACTTCTCAGGAGGTAGGGGCACAGTGCAGATCAAAGCATACTATTTTTCACCTTTTTTTTTTTTTGGTCTGTGTCTTCTTTTACAGCATAATTAATATGGAAATATCTTTTGCATGATTGCACATGTATAACCTACATCAAACTGCTTACTGTCTCTGGGATTCGGGGAGGGAAGGAGAGAATTTGGAAGTAAAATTTTAAAAAAATGAATGTTAAAAAATTTGTTTGTACATGTAATAGGGAAAAAAACAAAATACTTATATCATCCCTATTTTATTTCATTTGATCTTCAAAATAAACCTGTGGGATAGATTAGGTATTTTTCTCTTTTTAAAAATTTGTTTAGTTTTAGTTTAACATTCCCTTCCATAAGATTTTGAGTTCCAAATTTTCCCCCATCCCTCTCCTCCCCCCACCCCAAGATGGTGTGCAATTTGATACAGGTTCTACATATACATTCATAGTAAACATATTTTTACATTAGTCATGTCATAAAGAAGAATTAGAACAAATGCAAGAAATCTCGAGAAAGAAACCAAAAAAAAGAGAGCAAATACGGTAGTCTATCAAAGATAGTCATTGCACAATGTGGCTGTTACTTTGTATAATGTTCTCTTGGTTCTGCTCACAAGGATCCTTGCATTGCTGAGAAGGGTTAAGTCTATCAACGTCAGTCATCTCACAAAGTAGTTGTTACCATGTACAACGTTCTCCTGGTTCAGCTCACTTCATTCAGCATCAGTCCATACAAGTCTTTCCAGGTTTTTCTGAAGTCTGCCTGCTCATCATTTCTTATAGCACAATAGTATTCCATTACATTCATATACCACAACTTGTTCAGCCATTCTCCAACTGATGGGCATCCCTTCAATTTCCAATTCTTTGCCACCCCCAAAAAAAGTGCTATAAATAATTTTTGTACATGTGGGTCCTTTTCCTATTTGCATGTAGATTAGGCATTTTCACAGAAGAAATTGAAGCTCAGAAGACAAAGCTGGGACTAGAACCCAGATCTTCTGACTCCCAGGTCAGTAAGGCACGTGCATTTAGGGTTAAGAACCAATTTGGGGTTAAGAACTTTCTGTGGCTAATTCCTAAGATAACTGACTGTATGGAAATAGGAACTTTACAAATGGGTATGCTTTCTATATTGCCCCACTGTACTGACAAAATAAATCTATAAAACTGCTAAGATGCAGAACAGCTTAACAACTAGAAAACTAGCCTCAAAGTTCAATGAGGGAAAGGAAAAAGCATTTATTAAGCACCTCCTATGTGCCAGGTGCTTTATAAATATTATCTCATTTGATCCTCCTAACAATCAGGGGTGGGGGAACTGATTATTATTATTCCAATTTTATTATTATTTATATATTTAATTTGTATTATTTATATTTATTATATATTATATATATTATATTTATATATTTGTTATATATTATATTTATATATATTCCAATTTTACAGATTGAGAAAACTGAGGCAAATAGAGGTGAAGTGACTTGCCCAGTGTCAAACAGCTAGGAAATGTCCCGACATTTGAACTCAGGTCTTCCTGATGCCAGACCCAGATCTCTATCCAATGAACCATCTCAATGTCACTAGGTTCAAGCCCTGTCTCTGAAACATACATACGACCCTGGGCAACAGCACTCCAAGCAACTCTCTATAAAATGCAGAGGAGGGGACCACCTGCACTGGTAGGGGAACTTGCCTCACCTGAAAGTTTTATATACCAGTAAAATCAAAGGTTCAGTCCTGTCCTCGTCCTATAAAATTGCTATAGAAACAGAAAAGCTTTTTATCCAAGACGTTCAATTATCATGTCTAAATCCCCAAAGTCTTATTAAATTATTAAGTGGAAAAAAAAAGAAGAAAAATTAAGAGAAGACAGCCTATAGAGGTTGAGATGAATAGGGAGCAGATACAAAAAAGCCTCTTGGAAGTCCCTAATGCTAGTCATAACCATTCTGCGCTGCAGGCTCTCTAGCACAGCCACGAGAGAACTGCTCCTGGCAGCTCTGTGCCTATTAGGCTGAAGTCAAGTTTGCATAATTTCCCTGCCACTACCAACCCTGACCCAAGGTATTCAATCTATTTCTCTTTAGAAACAGAACACAGTGGTTCAGTTAGAATTCCTGATTGTTTGCCCCATTAGACCGTGAGCTCCTTAAGGGTGTGAACTGTCTTTCTTTTTATTACGTGTTACCCCAGCTCTTAGCAGTGTCTGGCACATAGAAGGTGCTTAAAAATGTTTCCTGGATTGGATAAGGCCATCTTATTGGATAAGAAGCTGGGAAGGAGTGAGAAGTGACTAAAAAAGCTTGAGGCAGCCCGGTACAGTGGACTGCGGTGCGAATACAACCCCCTCACTGTACACGTATGGGAACCAAAAGAAATGAGAAGGGCTGTCAAGGTTACTCCATACAAAAATTGGGAATTCATTCTTCAATCAGTAAACATTTGTTAAGCCCCTAAGCACTGTGCTAAGGTCCCTTCTCGCTCTTAGGTTCTGTGATCCAATACGAATAATAAAAGTACAGATCGCACCTTATGGTTTGCTCCACTTTACCTCTTTTGATCCTGTGAAGTATCACTGTGAAGTAGGTACTATTTTCTTCATTTTACAGAAAAGTAAACTAAGGCTGAATTAAGTGACTTCTCCAGAGTCACACAGCTGAGGTCTTCCTGACTCAGAGACCAGCACACCCCTCCGTCTCATGGCCCTCCAAGGCCAGATCGAGTCACTGCCCCATGCTAGCTCCCCTTTGCCTGGGGCAGGCACCGTGATTCCAGAGGTAAACACGAGGCTGATAAGCACGAGGAAATAGCGTCAAGGTAAACAGCAGGCTGGTGGAAATGGAGCCACGTCCAGAAATGCTCCAGGAGATATCAAGCGGAATTATTCGGTGGAATTGCCAGATGTCATTAATCCTCCAATCTCAGGGCCACCTTGGGATTGAGGGGCCCTCAAATGGCTAGGGTCTTGGAAACCCAGCCTGGGTCAGGGAGCTCTGGAAGGCCGCTTTCTTTGAACCCCTCGGACTCCCAGCACTCTGGAACCTCTCACCAGCCAGCCTCTCGGAGCCCCGGGACTCCCAGACTGCGCCCCTCCTCTCGTCACCTCCCAGCCAGGCTCCCTCAGCTCCAGGACTCATCCCTCCGCAAGGGGAAATCAACCGGGAAGCCCCGACCTCCTCAGCCCACTGCCCAGCCGCCGCAGGGCTCTATCAACAACCCCCTTCCCCGCCTCCTCCTCTCTGTGCCTGGTCTCTCCCGTTCGAGGGCAGGGATCCTCGGCCGTCTTTGTGGCCCCAGAGCTAAGCGGCGCTTGGCATACAGCTGGCGCTTCGCATACAGCTGGCGCTTCCTAAATGCCTCCTGACTCTGCCCCGCCGCCCCAGCCCTCACCTCCCGCCACGAAGGAGCGCAGCCAGTAGAAGTCCCTGCGAGCGGACGCCGCCGGCGGCGGGCTCGAGCTCCCGGCTTCCGCTCCTCCGGCCCCGGGGGCCGCCGATGTCGACACCGCGGCCATGGGGCTGCCTGGGGCTGCCTGGGCTCCGGGGGCGCAGTCAGAGACCCGGGGCCGCCCGCGTCCGGCTCATTACGGAAGATGACGAAGCCAGGCCGGGAGGGCGCGACGAAGCAGCCCCGGAGCCTAGCGGCCCAGCTTCCATTATAGCTGCCGGGGCGGCGCCTAGTGATGACGTAAGCACGCGCGTGGTGGGGGGAAGGGGCGTGGCCTCCGCTCGGCCCTGAGGAAGGGGGGAGGAAGCGGGGAGCAGAGCGGGGGAGGGAAGCGGCCTAAGCTGCCACAGGCCCCGGACCCCAAGCTGTGTGCCCTCCTTCAGGGAACCCATTCTGTCGGGCCTCTGCAGCCCCAGAGCCCGGGGTCCCCCTCCCTTTCTGTCGGGCCCCTGCAGCCCGGGGCCCCCCCTCCCTTTTTGTCGGTCCCTGCAGCCCCAAGGCCCACTGCCCCCTTGGCCTTTATTGGGTCCCCACCTCCCTTTTTGTCAGGCCCCTGCAGCCCGAGGGCCCACTGTCCCCTCAGACCCCCTGCCAGTCAGTCCTTCAGAACCTCCTGAGCCTTCCTGAGACTCCCCTGAGCCTCTGAACCCTCAGACTGCCAGACTTCAGAATCCTCGGGGGGTTAAAAAAAAAAAAGTGTCTGCTTTCCTCTCAGACGGTGCTGACTCCTAAAATTCTGCCAGTCCCTCAGCCCCCACCCTGCCATCTTCTCAGTTCCCCTGGCCCTCAGGGTCTGGGCGTGAGCTGAATCCTCACCTTGCATTCTTCACTCAGCTGCTAACCCCCAACACAACTGAGCTCTTCTTTCCCTTTGACTCCCTTACCCCTTTCAACCTGTGCAGCCTCTGGACCCCTACACCATGTCTGTTTGTCTGTTTCAGCATTCATGAACTTGTTTCTCACTAATCTCCTTATGTCTTCTAGTTCTGTCACCTCTGACAGTTTTTAAAAAATGAATAAGCATTTACTTTGTGCACAGCAAATCTGTGAAATGCAACAGTTGGGATAGGACAAGGTCCCCGTCATATAGAACTCTCAGTCTCATGAAGGATATGACACACAGAGATGCCTATAATACACAATAATACTAAATGAATTTATCAGGGGCAAAGAAAGGACTTTATAAGACCCAAGAGGAAGGTTTGAGGAACGAGGTGAAGTTCAAATAAACTGACTTGAGGAAAGTGCATTTAAGCAAAGATTTAAAGGATGAATGAGGATTCGAGAGAGATTAAGCTGGGGAAGAACTTTCCAGATATAAGACACAACTTGAAAAAAAAGGCACAAAGGTAGGAGAGTGTGGGAGACAGCAAATAGGCCAGTTTGACTGGAGCATGGAGTATCTGTAAAGCTGGAAAAGGGAATCCTGCCCAGATTGTAAAGGGCTTTGAAGACCAGGCAAAAGAGTTTGAATTTTATTCGTTAGGATCAAAAAGTAAAGATATCAAGGTCTGAAGGATCTAAGACATCTCCAGAGGGCTTGTGATGGAAAATGCTATCCACATCCAAAGAAAGAACTATGGAAGTTGAATTGCTATTTTTTTTTCTCTTCTGTTGAGTTTTGTTTCCTCTTTCTGATGGTTCCTTCTATTGGTTTTAATTTTCACTTACAATATCACTAATGTGAAAATATGTTTAATATGAATGTAAATGTATAGCCTGTACCAGATTGTGCACCTTCTTGGGGAGGGTGGCGGGGAGGAAGGGGGAGAAAAATTTTAAACTCAAAAGCATATGGAAGTGATTATTGATAAATCAAAATAAATTAATAATAAAAAAAAAGACATCAAGGTCTATCCAAAGGCTTTTGCAATTAGGAGGTGGGTGGTAAGGAGAACCAGTACTAAGGTGATCAGGCACACCTTTGTTTTCTTTCTATGCCCACAAGCTCCACATGATCTGATTCTGTCTACCATATGTCTTTAGTTTTGATATACTATAATCTATAGGTTTTTAGGAACCATTATTCATGTTACAGAAAAATTTGTACCAAATTCACAATCATGCATCATGCTTGTGCACTTTCTTTAACTGTGGAAAAATCCCAATTCCCATGAATTTTCTTTTCTGTGCCTTTCTCTATATCTAAAGTCAGTCTTTTATATCTCTTAATGATTTCATCTTCCCTGTAGCTTATACATGATTGAGCCTATACTCAAAAGCCCTCCAACTTGGTAAGACCTATGAGAGACTGAACCCAATTAGCATTGTTTATAAAAACACACAGGATCACCTTCACATCAACAGGAGACATATGAAGATTTTAGATAAGGTTGTAACACTAAAAAGAATGACCAACATATTTAAATTGTTTAAAAAGTAGAGTTAAGGGAAGTTTAAAGAACAGCAGTTATAATGAATAAGGAGTAAATAGAAGGGGAAATTCAAAATTGAGACAAAAGCTAATCTGGGGAAGGAAAGTGAGTGTAATTTTTGCAAAATATTCAGATTTCTCTGTTTCTGTGAAGAATGGAAATACCAAGAGAGAAGAATAGTTCATTCTGTTACAAAGAGGGTTAGATAAAGGTAATGGAACAGAATTAAGAAAATATTCCTTTAGGGTAAGAAGCAGAAAAGAAAACTTACTGACAATGAAAACTATTACAGCAATAAACATTCAGAATCTTTCTTTTTCCTTTAGGTGTCTCCTCTATATAGCCTTTACTCATTCTTACAGTTAAAAGTATCCTCTTCCTCAAATTTTTCTAGAACCTATCTGAATCTTTTTTGTGCTCCTATCACTCCATACTATGTATTACACTTGTCTTGTACATATGTAGAGTTTGATATGATGCCCTGTTCCATTAGGATAGAAGTTTCCTCAGCTCAAGGACTATGTATCTTTGTATCTACAGAGCCAATATAGTACCTTGCTCATAGTAGGTGCTTTGTAAATGTTTGTTGATTTGATAGTGTTTTATACAACTGTATCATCTTTGAATAAGAAGCGCAAATTTATGTTGGTGTGAGTTGTGTTTTCTTTCCTTCTTGAGTATGTGGATATAACATAGCTTTTGACATTTTTGTGTGGTTTCAGGTGGCCTGCATGCTGCCATCTTTGCTCTGAACCTTCTACTCCTCCTACTCCATTTGAGATATAATCCAGGGGGCAGCTAGGTGGCACAGTGGATAGAGCACCAGGCCTGGACTCAGGAGTACCTGAGTTCAAATCTGGCCTCAGACACATAACACTTACTAGCTGTGTAACCCTGGGCAAGTCACTTAACCCCATTGCCTAGCCAAAAAAAAAAAAAAAAAAAAAAAAAGAGATGTAATCCAGTTTAATGGTATTGTGGTATAAAGCTTTTGCTTTTTAAAATCTCCAGAGGAAGAGGCAGCTAGATGGTACAATGGATAGAGCACTGGCCCTGGAGTTAGGAGGACCTGAATTCAAATCCGGTCCCAGACCAGACACTTGACACTTCATACTTCCTAGCTGTGTGACCCCGGGTAAGTCACTTAACCCCAATTGCCTCACCGAAGAATAAAATGAGACTCCTAGGGGAAAAACTAGAAACTGAACCTCATTTCTTAAGGTCATTAAAATGACGTGTATCAATGAACTAATGAGAACATTTAGAAAATTTTAATGAGAATGGGGCACAACAGATAGCCCACATTCTGTACTAGCATCCACCAACTTAAAAGAATCAACAAATATTCAGCTTGTAGGATGGATCCTTGCTAGAAGTTTTGTTTTGTTTTATTTTTTAAATAATATTTTATTATTTTTCCTAATTACATGTAAAAACAATTTTTAACATTAATTTTTTTAGATGTTGAGTTCAAATTCTCTCCCTGCTTAACTTCCCTCCTCCTTGAGATGGTAAACAATTTATATAGGTTATACATGTGCAATCATGCAAAAGATATTTCCATATTAGTTATATTGTAAAAGAAAACACAGTAAAAAAAAAACCATAAAAAATAAATAAAATGAAAAAATAGTATGCTTCTATCTGTATTCAGACCCCATCAGTTCTTTCTCTGGAGATGGATAGCATTTTTCATCATGAGTCCTTTGGAATTGTCTTGGATCATTGTATTGCTGAGAATAGCTAAGTCAATCAGAGTTGATCATTGTGTAATATTGCTGTTACTGTGTACAGTGTTCTGGTTCTGCTCACTTCACTCTGTATCAGTTCATGTAAGTCTGACTTTTTCTGAGAGCATCCTGCTTGTCATTTCTCATACTACAATAGTATTCCATTATAATCATATACTCCAACTCATTCCAGCCATTCCTCAACTTTATGGTCATCCTCTCAATTTCTAATTCTTTGCCACCACAAAAAGAGCTACTATATTAATTTTTGTACAAATAGGTTCCCCCCCCCCCCGCCACTTTTTTTAATCTCTCTGGGATATTGATCTAGCAAATGGTTGAAGGGTATGCACAGTTTTATAGGCCTTTGGGCATAATTCCAAATTACTTTCCAGAATGGCTGGATTAGTTCACAGCTCCACCAGTGGTCCCCTTTGAGAATGAGAATGAGGGACAAACAATAGCAGAGGTTTTGTGGAAAGACTTTGACCAGAATGGTGCAGGATAAGAAGGCATGAATGGAGTTCTTACAGTGATGAGATCGTGGATCCGTGAAAGCATCAAAGTAAGTGTTGCAATGGGCCCACATTCTCTAACTAAAACTTCCTTTTTAAAATTTGCATTAATTTCTAACAGTATTTTAGAGGTGCTCCTTCATAATTTCCTGGCCATAGTAAGTCATTTAACCTAATTTTGCACCTACAGTTCATCCTTGATCGGCTTTTCATAATTTATATATTTTCTATTTTTATTAGCACAAATGTGTCTGACTA